TTGTGAAGCATATTGAATAAAGGCTGAATTTTCAACTGCAGACCCAAACCAAGAGTGACCCCAGTCCTTGCAGAACTGACCGTGGCTGACCAGCCATAAGGGTCTTGATGCAGAAATTAAGAAATGGAATTCTGAATGGTTTTTATACACAAAAGGTCAAGAAAAGGTTTTATTATAATGATATTACAATCTGACAATGCTTTTCTGACACTGAAATCTGAATCATGGATCTGTAGCTTGAACCATGACAAATCAAAGTGAATATTTAGAGTTTCACTAGGATATTTCTGTGGGGGCTTGAAAAAACATGGGATGTATACATTTTAGAGCCATGGTTTTGATTTTTGAGCTTATGAATGTTTATATCACAGAAAACATGAGAAAGCATGTAGAATTAGGATGCTGCTCTGACTGGGGATAAAGTGTTTATTTTGTGAATGCTGATCAAAATTTGACAAATGATTTCCTAAGCACCTGGGAAGATGAAAAGTGAGAACTAAAGGGAAATATAAGCATTATGATCAGTGAGTAAAGCAGTGCTATAAATGAATGTTCTGATATGATGAGCTGTTGATCTGAAAAGCTAGTTCAGCTTGAGATACTTGAGACTGAAAAAGATGTCTGAGGGAGAAATTGGTATAGTTGTTTTACAGAGGAGGCTGGGAGATAGATATCTTGAGCTCTGTCAGTGCAGTGAATGCCTGCACACCATCAGCACAGCCCATCCTAGCAGGTAGCAAGAGCACGGCACTTACTTAGAGGAGCAGCTCTTGCTCTAAAGAATGGGGCTCTCAGGCTGCATCACTTTCAGCAGCCAGCTCTGGGAGGATTTTAAATTTCTTTGTGAAACACAGGAGCAGCCTTCAGCCTTTAAAAAAACTCCTTATAGAGCAAAAATGTCAGCATAGGGTCTATCCAATGTTATAACTTACAAGTGATTCTGGCAGGAAAAAAAAAAAAGACAGTAAAAGATATCCTTTGTGACCAAGTAAAACAGATATCTCTGATGTCGTGTCCCTTACTAAATCTGTGACCTTGGAGTCAGGCTGTTTCTTGTTTGGTCTTGGTGGTGTAGCCAGTTATCAGCAACAGCCTTGTGACACTTTTTACACTGTTTTCTTGCCTTGTGCTGTACCTCACCGTAATGCTTTTACCAGCCATCCCTGTGAGGTCCAGGCCAAGCTTGCAGGGGGTGGTGTGGGCTCATGGGGCTGCTGACTTCTCTTTCAGTGGAGCACTGCCAGGATGCAGCTCTGTGAACCTGCTCCACCCTGCTGCCTGTGCCACTGCAGTGCCACTGCTGCTGGCAGAACTGCTCGCCCAGAAGGGCCTGAGGAAACACAGCAGGGGCTCAAAGTCTTAAACTGGGATTTTCAGTGTTTCTGGCTCTCTGAAACAAATGGTGCTGGGAAGCATAATTTTATCTTCAGCGGCTGGTGTTAATCAAAATTTGCCAAAGAAAGAAACAAACAACAAAATAAACAACTGGGAAGGTGGGAGAAGGAAAGCTGATCTTGCTTTTATGAGACAAAAACAAGCTAAAGGTTTCATTTTTGAAATTATGCTTTTTCAAAAGTATTTTAATGAGAAAACAAGTTTTGCATGAACTGCCTATCAAGAAGGCTAGGTTTTTTTTTTGTTTCAGTCCCATTTGGGTGAACATTTTACAATAGAAAAACAAATTTGAAGAAATAAAAGTGTAAAGACTATTGAAATACTTCATGGAAAGGAATGAACCGACTAATATTTTTTTTTAATTTACTTAAACATTTTAAAATATTGGTTAAAACAATCATGGTGGGTTCTGCTCTGAATGGAGCTGATTAATACCTCTGCTTTATTAAAAAGGTTCAATTACTACAGATTCTCTTTGGCATTAAAATGTGTGTGTCTGTCAACAGTTCCATCATTACCTTTGGTGCTTGCTTTTTGAGAGTGGGGCCTTATATACCTAAATGGTTGGTGACTTTAATTGCAGTTAGAATAATGGTTTCCCTAGCATTCCTGAAATGAATACAACTCCATCTACAGCAGAGAGGCCTGACACAAAACAGAACATAAATGTGAAGGCAGTTGTCAAAGTTGAGGTTCTGGGGTCTCAACAGCCACAGCTGACTGTCTGTTTTTTTAATATGATATTTTTGATTGCAAAAGGAGAATAATGAATGCAAAGAGATCTTGTCTTTCATGGACCCATAAAGATGGCTTCAAGTTGTTACTGGCATGATAGAGCCTTTTTCAGCAAATGGAATTGCATAACTCTATTCTGAAGCAAACAATCTTCTGAGGCCACAAAGGAGTTGAGCAGAGCTTGGAATGGTTGGTGCACTTGAAATGTCTGTAGGGGCATCTGCCAGTGGCTGAAAAACAAACATAATTTTCATTTTGATGCATTTTATATAGAAAAAAAAGAGCAAAAAAGAATTAAAATCAATGGCCCATCTGCTTGCAGACTAGAAGTGTGCAGTACCAAGTGCTACAGATACAGGCATGTGAAACTTTGTGTGCATGTACAAAATAAACTGCCCACCAAAACTGCTTTTCACTAATCATGATGGAATATGTTTTATGTGCTAGAGCTCGAGGTTTATGGCCTTTTCCCATTTCTTCTGCTACTTCCCAGTTTGTAGTGTTGGATTTCTCATATAACTGAAAGGCAAACATACCAGGATAGATTCCCTTCTGGCAGACATAACTGTAGTTTTATGGAAGCTTGTGTATCCTTTCAGAATTATACCAGTTGAGCACCATAAGCTTGATTTCTAGGTCTATATAGCCTTTTTCTTCTCGAAAGTTACAGTGACAAAGGGGCCATATAAAGGTGAGTAAATAATCTCTGTTTGAATCTGCCCACATTATTAATGGCAGAATCTTCACATCTTTCTGTACTAATTTGAAAAAAGTAGATCTGGGCTCCAGCCAAAATGACAGTCAAGAAGAAGAACACTTAGAAAGAACAAGTTGTGATGAAGACTGAGATTTGCTGTGCCAGTTCACTGACAGCATATTTGTTTTATGTCTCTACCCCTCGCACCATCCTTTGTCTTCAAAAACACTTCAGCAAACAATTCAGAGGAAGCAATTGGCATATTCCCTAATGAGACAAGATGAAGTGTCCTGTAACGATGATGACAGCAAATTCACTAAGTGAACTGCAGTTTTAGAACTTTGCAAATTGATCAAACCATGATTCCTTGGTTGCTTACTTAATTGCCTGTTACCATCTCTCTCCTGACCTCCATATGCCCACTGCTTCTGTCAGCACTTCTGCAACTCTGGGACTCTGTCAGCCCCTCAGGTTGTGAACACTGGAAGAATAGGTTCTGGTTTGGGGATTTTATTTAACTTGCATTTAATATGTGTTCTTGGCCAGCCGTCACAGTGGGAATTCAGAGATATTCAGGCCTCCTACCATGCTTGAATACATCAGGCTGTGAGGAAAAAGCTTTCTTAATTCTATTTATTATGGCATGGATGCTAATTAAGGCACTGTCTCATCAGGTGCTGAGTACCTTAAGCAGCTTCTTAACCCTGGGAAGGATAGTGCTGTGCTTGTTTAACACTCAGTGATGTTCTGTCTGCTAAAGATGTCTGGTCAGGCAGGAAGTGTGCAAGGGAGAAGGATATTTTGGTGAGTATACAAATGATTGAACGATGAGACTTAATCCATAGCCAGTTTGGACCAGAGCCCCTAGAACTGTGGTTCTATTTTGTTGGCAGAAGTGAAGAAATGGACAAGATCTAAGTGGTGAACTGTCATACAGCATTCTTCAGACAAGGCTGCTTCAGGGCTCGCCATATATGCCTTTTTGAAAGTTTCATTGGAGAAGTTTCTTTAAGGGAATGAGGGAAAAGGAGGGATGTGAATCCATGTGTGCAGAGGAGTGAGAGTAAGGAGCTTTTCCTGCTGCTGTGAAGCAGTTGCTGTCTTCTGCAGGGATTGTGTTTAGGAGTGGTGAAGAAGTGCTGTCCCTGCCAGTAATCTGCAAAGCTCCCTGAGTTCCTTTCAGATGAAAAGCACTGGGAACTTTGCAGTTGTATTTACAGCCTCAACACAGCAGTTATAAACTCTTAGGGAAAATAATTTTGTCAGTATAATCAGGTAAGTTTAAGCAGGTGGAGAGGTAATAAATAAACTCTCCTGAAATGAGATTTAAGGTTGTTGTTCAAGGTCCAGGATCATACATGTGACTTTCTGATACCTCTCGACTGCCTCTCTGTGTGAGTTTTGTCTTTGCCTCATATGACGTGACAGTTGTAACTTTCCTGAAAATATGCCTCCAATACAAAGATTGTACTGACTGACTGTTTTTCCTTCTTTTCTTGCTCTTGGTGATCTGCTGTACTTGTTTTATTGGATTTTCATAGGCACTGATACTCTGAGAACAATATTGATAAGCACAGAGAAAGAGTTGGTTGTATAAAATTAGGTCTAAAGCATAAAAACGTAACCTAGGATGGTTGGACCATGTCTGAGCTTGAGCTTTTCTGCTGGGGAACAATGAATTTCATTTGGATAGTAGACTATAGTGGGGCTTTAATGCTTTCTGTTAACTTTATCCTGCAGGGAGGGTAAGGACTGGCAAAAATATCTGTGTTGACAAGGCTTAAGTGTATGCCTAGGTAGTAAATCATGTGTACCTGTGTGTATGTAGGTATGTCTTTGAAATACCATACATGGTGAATGTATGTACCACCCCATGACTAGATATATCACATTTGAAAGTTCATATCCCTTTATTTAAATATTTACATACTTTAATCCAAAATGAAGCAAGTACCTGTATCTTCAAAGCCAGCATGCATTAAGTTCAAGGAATTAGTTAAAGAAATGTGTGATTTTGAGCATGGATTCAGGCCTAGATGCAGTAAGATTTCACATGCTAATCAACTGTGTGCTAACAGGGTATGTTATGGTAATAATTAATGCAGTATTCATGTATAGAATGTGTCTGTCTGTGCTCTGGCTGTGAAGCACTCACTCTCTCTTTCTTTTAAAGCTGTCTATGAACAATCCTGCGAGGCTTACCGACACCAAGGGAAGACATCAGGTTTCTTCTACATCGATTCTGATGGAAGTGGACCACTGGGACCACTCCGTGTTTTCTGCAATATAACAGGTAATGACCTAACCTTGACTTGGCTGCTTGATCTCAGGTCTAATTTGATTTGAGGTGGTCTTAATAAAATGATAGAGACGTCAATAATACAGCTCGGGAGTGGGGAAGAATCAAACAAGTTGTAACTGAAGTTTCACTTTGAGATGTTTCCTTAAATAAGATCCTTGTAAAAGTGATTTTTAAAATAAGTTTGAAGGATTTTCCTTGCTAAGTGATATATACAACAGTGTCTGCACCTTATAAAGGGCACTTCATAATATCATAACTTTTGATGAGATGTTTGTTTTTTACTAAAGAGGGTAGAAACTTATAATCCAAACCATTCTTTTGTAATTGAATGGCTTCTCTGCTTTATTAGAATACTAGATCTGGGAATTATTATTAAACTCCTCTCCCTGAGCTGTCTATAAACCCTTCTAGGCTGATGTAGGCAGCAATCCATCCCCTCATACAAGTGTGCTGCCTTTGGCATTCCGAGGAGTGGAAACCTTGATTGTCCCGGGTATTTGTATGGAGGAGAATGCATGATGATCTTAGGAGAGGGGACACCAAAGAGATGAGTACCAGAGCAAGAGCCTGGCAAGGTGACCTGCTGGTTGAGGCTTTTTAACCTTACAGTTCCGTAGGTTTAAAATAAGAATTGTTTCAAATGAACAGACCTGTCTGGCAAATTCTCCCCTTAGGTGAGTCCTATTTTGTAAATAGGATTGTCAAGCCAAGAGTATGAGGAAAGATTGCATGGCCCTTATTGTGGATGGGGATGGATGGGAGGGCTTTCTTTCTGCTTTTTATGTTTGAAATGGAGGTGAAATTTCCCACACTGTCTCCTGTTCGGCATTTTTTGCTTTCTGTGGCCAGGTGCGGATGAGGGAATGTTTTATTACCCTTTCTAAATTGCTAATTCTGGCTGAACTACTTTGCCACATATCACTTCCACACTCAGTGCTGAAAACTGAGGACTCAGGATATTCATATTTTATCCTTAATCTCCTTGTACTTAAAGTGCCTCAAATTAAATTTTCATTTTTATTTAATTGGGCAGTGATTATGTTAATTAAATGCACAACAGTTAATTATTAAGTATGTTTTTTATTCAACTGTAACAAATATTTAATAAGATGTGTCTCCTTTGCTGTTGTATCTCCAAAGAATTGAAACAGAGTTTCACCTTTCTGTCTGAATATCCTTCCTTGATCTTCAATATGGGAAATGTGCTCATTTTTATTATTTATCATATAAATATGTGTGATCAAAACATTGTCAGTGCTTTTTATCTCTGCTGAAGAAGTAGGATTTTTGACAAACACCTTGCATTTTCTTTCCTCAAAAAAGAGGATTTATCTGGCATAAATCCAGAAGGCATATACCTGATTTTCTCTCTATCTGTAATGAACTTGCTGACATTCTCATAACATTGGTTATGAGCAAGGTGGAGGTGGGAAAAACTCCTATACTTCTGGGTCAACTAAATATGCTTTCGGTGCCTTAATCACAAGAGCTTCTTTTCTCTCTGGGAACTTCTCTTATTGTTATTCTCATAAAAATTGTTTACAGTAGTCAATTAAGTACAAAGTAGAAAAAAAATTACTTTGTGTACACAGGAATTCTCAATTTGCTTCTTTTTTCAGATGATGCCTCTGCTTAGTTTTCTGAAACTGCTCCATATTCAGGGAAAGGTGAAATACAAAATTCTGTGTTGTTACACTAGGTACATGAAAGGAAGAGAAAAAATATTTTGTTCCATGACATAAATCTGTAACACACCTCCTGAGAATGGAAAAACATGGATGGCTTCCATGTGTGGGGAAACTAAAGAAATTTAAAAGATGGTTGGGGGAACCTGTCATAGGAGAGCAAGGAGATCATGTGTGGCATAGAGAACACACACAGGAATTGATTCTTTTTCATCATATATGATCTAAGGGACACCTAAATGATTACACAGCTGGATTTGGGAGTCTTTTATTTGCTTGCTTTTTCCTGATGCAATGAATTCAACTTGAAACCACCACAGGACAGCAAGGATCCTGATAGATCAAGAGAGGGAGTGCAACTCATCTGGAAAAAGGCCCAGTTTGGTCTCATAGATTCAGAAGGTGCAAGTAAACATGAAGGTTTAGTTGTAGCTTCCCACTCAGGTAGCTGTGAGGCAAAGACCATTGGGAAATGGGAATGAGCTTCAGGAAAACCTTTTGGCTTCCCTGGGTTTCTCTTCACCCTCAGAGGCAGAGGTGGGTTCCTGGGCTAAATAAAGCTTTTATTTTACTCAGGCTGGCAGTTCTTTCTGTATACAGTTCAAGAAGCAGTAACCTCTTTGTGCCCAAAATGTGTTCAAGCTGAAGAATTTGGAGGTGGAATGGAAAATTCAGGGCAATGACTCATTTAGTGTTTTTAAAAGTGGAGGTGCAGAGAGCTCATGCCTTCTGGGAATTACAGTGCCTTTAATCTGTGAAGGATGAATTCAAGGAAGAAATCCAACCATCAGAAATGAGCATTTAAAGCTCATTTAATGCATTGCATTTAAAGAAAAGTGATTTTTTAATGCTCACTTACCTTTTTTTAAAGTTCTTTCTAATTCTAATTTAAGTTCCTTTCTATTTTTTTAAAGTTATTTCTAACAGCATTTTTACCTGTTTAATTGAAGGGATTCGGATAGCAAACTTGTTTGTAGCCAGTTATTAACTGGGGCAGATAAACACCAGATTTCTTGCATTTTGGTGTCTGGTCATAGGTATCCAGTGTCTGGTGTGGATATGGAAATGCCAACATTACAAGTTAGTTTACTGTGTTTATGTTTGCAGTGGTTTCTCTGCAGCCTGTCAACTTTAGAGCCCACTGCTGAATAGAAATTCTGAATAAAGCAGAAAATTGTGATTGTGTGTGTTGAGAGGGAATCGGACAGTTATACAAAGAGGGAGAGAGATATAAAGGAAAGGAAATGTTGCAGGGAAAAAAAAAAGGAAAAAAGTATTAAAAAATATAAAGTCAATTTTCAGCATGGCAAGAAATTTAACAGTAGTGTCACAGAATATCTGATGCATAGCTGATACTAGAGTGGGTAAATGTACTTATCCACTGTCTGAAGAAGCAGCTGAAAAAGCAAGGTGACAAAAAACTGTTGATGACGTGCTGCGATTTAATAGTATAGTATACTACAAGTATAGCATACTTATTGGTCAAGAAGTGAGAAGAGCGTATGAAGCACTTTAAAAGGATCTTACCTTGGGGGCTGTTTATTTCCACTAGAGGTAAAATATGGTGTTGAAAGAGGAGGTTGTCACGAACACTAATGTGCCTAATCAAAGGCATAGAAAGACATCTGTACAAAGAGAGGTTAAAAGTAAATCCAGGACTATTTAGAATGGGAAGACTCAAAGTGAGTAGAGCTCACTGACAGAAGCAATGCTCATTTTCATTTTCTTACAATAGGAGAAGAGAGACAGTTCAATGACAGTGAAAGACAAACCCCTCAAAACTAGATCTAAAAGGAGAAGACAGCACCTTATTAACATAATGTTGTTTTCACCTTATATACCCATTGTACACAGAGCAAAGTCACTTTCACAGGGAAATTCATCATTTGTAAGAAACACTGAGGAATCCACACCAAATATGCATCTGTGTGTGGGGAAGTGAACCAAATGTATGTGCCCAAGCCATGACTGGATGTACTTGGATGCCATGAAGGACACCATGAGGATGTGAATGGGTCCGTGCAGGGATTATTAAATTGGGATGATTGCATTGAGTGCTTTGGGAACACATCTGGCACATTTTCAGGGTCATCCACATGGGAATGTAAGCTAGATAATCTTGCTTTTCCTGGGTCTCCAGTCATCCATGGGGGATATGGCCATGCCTTTTTGACATGAAGTGCAGAAAGAATGTGTTGTGTCATGCTTTGGGGTAATGAGCTGCCACCAGGGCTGGGAAAGATTTTCCTTGTAGGCTGGTTGTTTGATAATCAGCCCACTTGAATTAATCTTAACTGAAGATTCATAGCAGTCAATAGAAAAGATGACTGACAGACCCTCTGAACCTCAGGTGTGTCAGTCTTTGTGAGGCTTATTCTTTTCATGCTGCTTAGAAATCTATTGGTCTGTCTGGAGTACTACTTAAATGCTAATAACCATGTTTTCCAGGACAAAGCTTATAGACACGCAGTCTACTTCCATGTGCTTGTTTTGCTGTCCTGTTTGAAAAGTGGAATGAACTTTTCTCATCTCCTTTTAAGTAAATTTTACCCTTGAAATCTGAAAGATTTACTTGCAGTACACTTAAGTCATCCTGTCACTGTGCTTCTCCATTGATGCTGTTTTACAGTATTCAGACCCTGGGCTATCAAATCAATAATGCTTAGAAATTGCCATGACTAAATCAATGATTCAGTTTATCTTTGCCAGATATTTTTCCAGTCCTCAAATAGTCTTCCTTTCCTTTATTCCCCTTTTTTTCTTCCAGGATTGCAGTTTGGGGAAAGATGCAACCTTATCTCAGGTCTTGCTGCTGGTCCAAGATGTGTTTTTGAAACTGCCACAATGAAAAAAATCATTAATTAACAAAAACACATCTCTACTTTTTGCAGATAATTTCTGTTTTGGAGTCTCATCTCAAAGTGCAAATACTGCTAATTTCTCTGATGCAGAAAAAAGAAAGGGGTTTTTTTAGTCTAAAAAAACTGCATAGAAACTGTGTCTAAATCTCTGAAAAAGTATGGGATTCTAATCAGATGTAAAGTAGATCATCAAAATTGTACTTGCAATTTTTTTTTCAAATTGAGTCCTTTTTTTTCATTCAGCCAACAATGATTAAGATTTTATTTCTTCCATATAGTACATATCCCCACTGATGTTTCTAAAATAATCAGTTGTATTATTGTCCGTGGAACCCATCTTTCCCTTTGTTTCCAAACATGAATCTCAGCTTATCTGCTTATAGAATTCCTTAATCTATTTTCCATAAGAAACCATCTCCTTTTTGCTTTGTGTAGCAATTATACA